CACTACATTAAAGAGGTTCCCACCCCTCTTGCTCTTGAAAACAAGGATTATAATATGGAATATAATATATGGAATATAATCCTAGAGAAGCAGCAGATGGCCGAAAAGTTTCCGAAGACTTAACCCCAGAAAATGCCTGAAGCATTGAGTTAGATCCACAGAATGGTTTGGATTTAAAGGACCTTAAGGATCATCCAGTCCCACCCCCTGCCATGGGCAGGGACACCTTCCACGAGACCCGGTTGCTCCAAGCCCCATCCAACCTGGCCTGGAACACTTCCAGGGATGGGGCAGCAGCCACAGCTTCTCTGGGCAACCCGCGCCAGTGCCTCACACCCTCACAGCCAACAATTCCTTTCCAACACATAATTTAAATCCCTCATCTTTTAGGTTAAAACCATTACTAGAACATCATCCTATGTCCAGTCAAAAAAGCTGTTGAGATCGAGTGGCCAAATTGTCCCTATAGGACAGGGATGTGATCCTGGAGGACAGAGGACAACTTGCAGCCTCTTTACAGTCTTTGAAGTCTCAACTAGAACCCCAAACTTTGGGCATTTCCTTGATTTAAACACAACTGCAGATACCCAGATATCATGCCAGAACAGCTGTCAAGAGAACACAGTGTGCCTAACAGACCTGCTCTGGAGGCTCTACACACTGCAGATGAAAACAAGATGTTAACAGGACAGGAAACAGAGGATTTGGGGATAACTGAATTCAGAGATTCCCCGAACGGTTTGGGTTGGAAGGAACCTTATGGATCATCTAATTCCAGCCCCCTGCCATAGGCAGGGACACCTTTCACTAGCCCAGGTTGCTCTAAGCCCTGTCCAACCTGACCTGGAACACTTCCAGGGATAGCACAGCCACAGTTGCTCTAGGCAACCTGTGCCAGTGCCTCACCACCCGAACAGCCAAGAACTCCTTCCCAATATCCCATCTAATCCTGCCCTCTGGCAGTGAGAAGCTATTCCCTCTTGTCCTGTCACTCCAGGCCCTTCAACACTTCCAAGAATGGGGCATTTAGGAGCAGCCTTGAACACTTCCAGGAATGGAATTTAGGAGCAGAAGGTCCATCAATTTCTTTTAATATTGACAGATACAGGCCAATTCCATCCAAAATGTTCATGGCACTGTCTCTAGCCTCTTTGCCTGATGGGCTGAGAAGGAAATCCCAATCCCTCAGAGATGCCTTTCCCCTGAATAACCTAAAAAAACCCCAGGATGACAACAGTGTTTGTGTGCCCAAACCAAATATCCCGACTGCAGCTTTCCATCAACACCTGGATATCTACTGGAAGTCACACTCAGGACAGTTTGCAACAAAAGGAAATATATAGAAAGCACTTTTTGTGGCGAAAAGGCAATTTTAGTCGTTAAACATTTACCAACAAGACAAAAACTGAGCCCCATGAGCACCAAACCATCAACAACTCCACGCTGAGGTGCAGCTGCACGTAGGTGTCCCTTACCTTGAGCTCCTTCCAGCTGTCAAGCAGCCTGGTGGCCAAATCGCTCACATCCACGATTTTATCTGTTTGCTCTTGGCTCCTCTCGCTCTCCACATCAGAAACTCCTTCCTCTTCATCCTGAGACGGTGTTTCCATCGCTATGGGCTCTTCCAGCTTCGTCCCATTGCTCTCCTTGACCTCTGCTTCAGGCTCAGCCTCCAGCTCTGCACTTTGGGGTTTGCTGCTTTCCACTGGAGCGTCTGAGGCAGCTTTGATCTCCTGTTGCTGCTGCTGCTCCTCTGTCACCTCCACTGGGGCTCCCTCCAGCTGGTCCAGGTCCTCCTTGCCCTCCTTCCCTTCCAGCTCGCTGGTTGTATCTGAGATGGCACTATCCATGCTGTTCTCACTGATAATCTTCAGCCTTCGGAATACCAACTTCTTGGGGGTGTCTGTGTCACCTTCTGTGCTCTGCTTGGTGGTCAGATCTGGAGTGTTGAGGGGTGTGTGGGCCCGTGAGGTGTTTTCACTCGAGTAGCCATCACCCTCACTGAGCTGAGGCACTGCAGTCTTGGTCTGAGCCCAGCGCTGGATGATGGGAAGAACTTTGCTCTCCTCCAGCATGTTCTTGGTAGGGATGGGCAGGAGCTCCAGTGTCTTCATGATCTAAGTGCAAAGACAAAACAGATGTGGTTAGAGCCACCAGGACTTAAAGCTCTGTCCAGCTGTCCCAACCCCAACCTGGGATCGTTTCCTTTTCTCAGGAAGAATTAACTCCAAAATATCAAGATGATCACAGAATCCCAGAATGGTTTAGGTTTGAAGGGACGTTAAATATCATCTAGTCCAACCCCTGCTATGGGACACCTTCCCCTAGACCAGGTTTCTCCAAGTCCAATTCAAACTGCATGGAACCTTCTTGTAGAACATCTCTAATACAGGAACTTCCAGATGGTTTTTGGTATTTGCTTATAGAAAACAGAAATATTCCAGCTCCACTTCAATACCTCCAATTCTCTGTGCTCCAGCATGGAATAAACAGCAATTAACAATGATTCTATTTCAGTCTGGCTCATGAAATTTACCTCAGAAATCCAAGAATAACCACAAGAGCAAATTCTTTCCGTATATTAAGCATCTCCCTCAGGGCAGAAGTTCTGAGGTACCTGAGTTTGTTTCCATGAATACTTTGCATAAATTTATATTTAAAAAAATAAAAGGCAATCCTTGTGCTCCTGAGCATTTAGGAAAGTTGCTAAGGACCTTTTTCCCCAAAAGTGCTCCCTGCCAGGGCAGGGAGAGAGACCCCATCCCTGGGGGGATTTAACACCCATGTGGATGTGGCACTTGGGGACATGGTTAGTGGTGGCCCTGGCAGCGCTGGGGGAGTGGTTGGGCTTGATCTTATGGGGGTTTTCCAACCTAAATGACTCTCTGAAAGCTTCAAATCCCAGGAATTACTGACCTCCAGCTGCAGCTTCAGGTTGTTAGCAGTGCTTCCCCTGCCATCTCCCAGCTCTGTCATCCAAATCCAGAGCAGGGACAAGCCATGACACTCCAGGAAGGACTTCAGGCAGGACTGTGAGTGCGTGTTCTGGAAGAGCCAAATTTAGAGAGAAAGCACGAGAATAGTCAGAGACTTCCAGTCAGAAGTCCCTTTGACTTCCACAGGATAAGATAGCAAACTGCTCAGCTGGGATTGTGTTGCCTGTCGAACCCACTGCAGAGCCAGAACTTGGCACCTGTGCACATCTAACCTCATTTAAGTGGCCCAAACTGCGAGTTTGGAGCAGCAACACAACAGCAGGACCATGACAACCATTACAGCTCATCCTGGGAGAAAAAATGTCAGGATAATGGACTGCAGAGCTGCTTGGCTGAGCTGGAAATACTGGCACACGGGTCAGACCTTCCTCCCACTTTCCCCCTCTTCCTCCAAGGAGAGCTCTGAGGATATCACTCTACCAGGATGTGGATCATTCCCCTGGGTGAGGGGAGGGAATACTCATACTCACCTGGATGAGTTTGAGACAGGTGAGTTTCTGCTCCAGTGTTTCAATCCGAACCATCAGTCGGGATAAGCTGAGCACTTGGTTTTTATCGGAGAGACCTTCTCCATTCTCCAGCAGAGCTTCCAGCTCCCCATCCACCTGCCACAGCCAAGGAAAAGCAGCCCTCAAGCCATGCCAGGATTATATCACCCTACATGATGGAATTCCCTGACTCCAACCTCCCTTTTCCTTAAGGAATGGCATGTTATAGGCCTACACATCTAATGCTGCATGGAGGAAATTCCTTGTGGTTGCACCAAAATGCTCCCAGTGGTGAATTTATCTTTTTAAGGAGGAAAACAGATGCACACTAAGAAATTATCTTTAATTGCAGATAAAACTTATTTATTAATTATATAAATTCTAGATGATAATCAATAATATTTATAATCATTACAACCAGAGGATAATTCCTCTCCACAGATACCCGAATATCAACCTTCATCATTCAGCCACTAATTAGTGTTTTAAACCACCATATAAATAATTTATAAATTATTACTTTGCTTCCTCACTCTCCGATAGGGTAAATAAAAATGAAATTGCTTTTCTAAGATTAGTTTCTCTGAAAAGGGCTTGGAATAAATCTTATCCATAGGAATAGAGGGGTTTATCTTCAAGGATGGCATAATGTCAGCTTGTAGGAAGAAAAACAAGGGCCTGTGCAGTTTCCTGCAGCATTTTTCACCCAGAAAATATCCTTCTGAGTGCTATGCTGAGGCTTCTCTGCAGTTTTTCTACATCATGTGAACCCATCCCTGCAATTCCGTGTGGGGAGTAGGTCATAAAACCACTAGAGGAGGATTCCATGCATGAAAAGTTATTAAAGACTTTAAAAATCAGGATTTGAGTTATGTATTTCATTCATGTCCATCAGCAAACACAACCAGAACTGAAGTCAGTGTAATCATGACACACATTCATGCAAGTTCCTCCTGGACCTGATTTGCCTCCAGGCCAAAGCAATTTAGGGATTCATATTCCATCTACCAACCTGGAAATGGCAAAACTCTGTAGCTTTTAGCTGCCAAATTTCATGTAATGTCCTAAATGGTGAAGCTCCTCTTTCACTGACACTTAAAAGTCATGGAAAATAAACCAAATGTTTCAAACCATGTGGAATTTAGTGCGGGTTTTAGTTATGGAGGAGCAGCTGTTGTACCTGTGAAACCTCTGGCAGGGCTTTGTGCTAAATAACACCGGGAAAGGAAACGTGGATTTAACTAAAGATCCAAGAAAACACGAGTACTGAGAGACCTTGTGAAATAAAATCATTAAAGTTGGAGAAGACCTCCAAGATCATCAAGTCCAACCTTTAATGATACATCCACGAAAAAGACTGAGCCCTGAGATCACAAGGAAACATCTCCCAGGGAACAAGCAACTGGACAAGTGGAAATGGCCTCAGGTTGCACAAGGGGAGGTTTAGGTTGGATATTGGGAATATTCCTACTGGGAAGGGCTGTCCAGCCCTGACACAGGTTGCCCAGGGCAGGGGGAGAGTCACCATTCCTGTAGGGATTGGGGAGGGGACACAGGGTGTCCTTGGCAGTGCTGGGGGAACAGTTGGGGTTGATGGTCTCCAAGAGCTTTTCCAACCTCAATGATTCTGTTTCTGTTCTTCACAGAAGAAGAGAAGAAGTGACCTGAAAATTCACCTAGGGTGGCTTAAGCCCAGGTCAGCCCTTGGCTGCTGTTACTCGTCTAAATAAATAAAACCACACATGAAATGGAGAACCAAACTCACTGAGTCCTTCTTCCGGGACCGTTCCTTCTTCATCTTCCCACCTGCCGCTCGGATGCTGACCCTGTTCTCCCCTCCCAGGTAGCCACGGCAGTTGGCAGAGCCACAGAAACACTTCTGAGCCTCTTTGCTGTGGGTGGACACAAGGAGCAATTTAATATCAGCTCAACTCCCTCCACAGCCTGTTGTCCCACCTTCCTCTTCTGTGCATCCTCAGAAGACAGGGATGGGAATCTCTCTGCATGGAAAGGCCTTTTCTGGCCACTGAAAATTCAGATAAAGTCTTTTCCTTACATAGCTCCCATGATCCCATGTTGTGTCAGCTGGAAACTAAAGCCTGTGTCACTTCCAAGCTCTCCATAGGTTTAGCACCAAGAACCAGAAAGGAAAAGGTGAAGCTGAAGAATCTGCAGACTTCTTACCACACATGGCAATCCATATATCCATTTTCCTAAGGAATATACATTCAAGACCATATATCCATGAGGAAAGGCTTGAATTTGATAACATTTCATAGCTCATTTATGGTATTTTATAGCTCAAAACAGAGTAACAATGAGCTGAGGATTCATGGAAGCAGCAAGATTCACATGGAAGTTTTTTCCATGTATATATGGCCATGGATAATAAATATAATAAATTATCTTATCTTCACGTAATATTTCTACCAAGCCTCTATATTTTCTACTTGATACACCACAAAATTTGAGCTATATTCCACAATTCCTTGGGAAAATGGTGGGTTTTAGTTTAAATGTGCATAATCCACTGGAGGAATGTGGCTCTGCAGTACAAGCAGTAAGATCCAGGGAAGCTCAACTCCAGGATCTTCTAGGAAGGAGAAATGACTTTAAAGAGCAACTAAAAACTCATTTCTGATTCTCCTGCTTACAGGAAAATAGTGTTGCACAAGGGATCCAGAAAGAAAAGGAAAAGAGTCTCCTTAAATAATTGAATCCAGTTAAAAAGCCACAGGATTATAAAATGGATCCACAATTAATCTCGTCATTCTAGGTGGCTTCAGGCCTGTCAGACACTGCTTTGTGTTCAACAGAAGTGAAATATTTCACCATACACCTGGAAAAACAGGAATAGAGAAATTTTTGCCTCAGGTTTAGTGAAGGGATTGAAATCCCAGGCTGGAGCTTGCACACTTGCACCCCTGGAGTAGGCCAGGAAGAGGGGATGTGCTGTCTGGGAGGGTTTTATAGCTCCTCAAATGTTTGCAAAGCCATAAAATAGAGGTGGGAGGGGAAGAAAAGGCATTTTTTAGTATTGCAAAGTCTGGAGCTCGGGTAATTAATAATTAGACAGAGGAAGAAGAATCCAAGAGAGTTATCTGGGAATTTCCACTGGGGAGAGACAGTATGGAGTGGAACAAAAAACTGACACTGGAAAAGACAGATTAAATGAATGTGAAATTCCTCTCCCAAACTTTTGTGTTAGAAATGGAAGGATCTTTATCTTGCTGAAGCAGGAACATACCCATATCTCTGGAACTGGTAATCAAACGTCAGCTCGGAGCCTGAGGGGACGAGTTTGGTGGTGAAAAATCCAACTCTGAGCTGCCCATTCACAGTCCACTATGGAAAAACCAAGACAAGAATTATTATATTCCAAAACTCAGGCTTGACCCTGGATTTGCTTTTAATTAACAAGTTAAATCCTTGAAACAGCATCTCTGATTAATTTAATCAGTGGATGGGCAGAACTTGCCTGTTCCAAATGTAGTTGTTTTCATTTTACTGAGTTACAACAACAATAAAAACCCCATAACAAAGACATGAAGGAGAAATGCTTCACTCTGAGCTCTCCAAGTCTCCAGGCAGTGGAATTGTGGAGGCAGCAGCAGCTTTGATCCAGCACTTTTACCTTTTGTGTCTCACAGTTTGGCTCACAGCTGTGGTTCATAAAACGAGAGCAGTTTCCTTTCTGGGTTGCATCGATTATCTGAAGAGAAACAAGAAATACAGCAAAACAGGCTCACTGCCTCTGCTCCAGGCAGGGATAGGAAACAGGACAGCTACAAACACAACTCACTTTTTCCTGCTCTTTATTTGATATTCCTTATCTTTATTTGGGGTGAGGAATGGGGTTTATTGTGATATTAAGTGCCCTCAGAAAAGAGCACTAAGGGATTGGTACATGGTTCTTAGTTTTCAGTGCAGGTCAACGCAGAGTTCTCCAGGATTTTTGATCTGGATTTTGTTTCTGACCCTTTGATACATGGTAGAAAAGACCTCAAAGGGAAATGCCATCTTCTGGATCCCTTCCACTTATAAACACTTATGTGTTTCTAGTTATAAAGGAACTTAGATTTTTGTGCCCCTTATGATCCCATAACCACTCCAAAAGTGATTATTCTGAGGAGAAAAAAGAAGAGAAAAAAGGACACTGAGTATTTTTAGCTCATTTACTGTCAAACTCCCCAGACTCAGAAAGTCCTGACAGAGGAAACAAGCAGAATAAGAGATTAAATTTCTATTTATAGCATTGTTCTCAGCCAGGGAGGGCCCAAAGCATGCTGTGTTGCAGCTCCACACCCCACAGAGCTGAGGGGATGATAAATTATTAAGAGTATCTGGCATATAAATATTTCAGTGACATATTCTCCAGGGAGGGACTTTGCCAGCTAAAAATGTCCCAATTTAATGATGTTCTGTGAGCAAGGAAAGAAAGGAAATGTGGTTCCTTGGTGTATCTGGGCATCCAAAAAGGGTAAATTTGTCTTGAGGCATCTCCCCCAGGTGGGACACAGATATGGTTTCCCTCCCATGGAGGTTTGTTCATGTGGAAGGGATGTGCCATGCTCCATACTTCCTTTTGGAAGGACAATTTCTCTTCTCCAAGGACATGGGGATACAAGTTAACCTGTCAGAACCGTGTTGAAACAGGTTGAAACTGAGCAGGCAAGGCATGAAGTTTGATTTCCTTAGGAAAATATTTCTAATGGATTCAGGACCTTGCTCCACAGGTTCCCAAGGAGTTGGTGCTGTACATAACCAGGGCTAAGCCAAGGAATCCCACTGCTCACCTCATCATTCTTCAGGGCCATGAAATAATAGTGGATGTTTTTGTTCCGAGCATACTCTTTCACCCGAGCCTTGAACTCCTTGTGATCCAACACTTCCCCACAGTATTCCAAGACAAAAGTGTTGCTGCAGGAGGGAAAACACATCACTTTGCTTAGCAAAATACACCAATAAACAGAAAGTAAGGACTTTTGATATGGATTTCTGAACACAATACACAGCCTGGTCGTTCTGGTGGTGTAGCTGCAATTATTATATGTCTTCATCTCAGCTAACTCTGATTTATTTGAGGGTTTTATGCTGCCACATGGGGAGGTGGCAGAAGGATAAACCTCCCATTCAAGTAGAGTTTATTCTATATATTACACACACACATACATATATATATTTATATATGGAAGAGACCTTAAAGCTCATCTCCCTCCAACCCCCTGCCATGAGCCACCTTCCACTAGCCCAGGTTGCTCCATGCACTCTCCAACCTGGCCTGGAACACTTCCAGGAATGGGACAGCCACAGCTGCTCTGGACAACCTGTGCCAGTGCCTCACAGTGGAGAATTCCTTCCTAATATCTGGTCTAACCCTGCCCTCTCCTTCCCATCCTTCCCTACATTCCTGATCCCAGCCCACCAGCAAACATAATCCTTGCTGTGCCAGCTGGTCACTATCAGCATGTCCTCACTGCAGCCTCCAGACCTTAATTCAAAAGAAATTCCCACAACTTTAAATAAAACAGGTCCATATTTGCATTCAGGGCAGCAGCACCACTTTAATCCCCCATCACTAACAAAAGACATAAAGTCTCCTTTGAACCTTTCCTTTTCCATTGGATGTGATCTGCCACTGGGCTCTGGTGGATCACAGAATCACTGAGGCTGGAAAAGGCCTCTGAGTCCAACTATTCCCCCAGCACTGCCAAGGCCACCACTAACCATGTCCTCACAGTTGTTAAAACCCTCCAGGGATGGTGACTCCACCCCTGCCCTGGGGAGTCTGTGCCAGGGCTGGACAGCCCTTTCCAGGAGGAATTTTCACAATATCCAACCTGAACCTCCTCTGGCATAGTTGGACGCTGTTTCCTCTTGTCCTGTCCCTTGTTCCCTGGGAGCAGAGCCTGACTCTCAACTGGCTGCACCTCCTGTCAGGGAGTTGGAGAGAGCCAGAAGGTCTCCCTGAGCCTCCTTTCTTCAAGGCTGAGCCCTCTCAGCTCCCTCAGCTGCTCCTGCCGCTCCAGCTCCTTTCCCAGCTCCGTTCCCTTCCCTGGACACACTTCCATGTGCTCCCTTTTCTCAACAAACTTCATCTTGGTCTCCTCATCCTGTTCCCCACTTGTGCCTCAGGCCCAGCGCTCTTTGAAGGTACTCCCTTCTCTCTCTTCTTTCCTGACCTCACCTAAACCAGCACTTGGAAGCACAGTCATTAACAACAGGCTAATGAAGACAAAAGATCCCCATGGGATCTTCATGCTGTCCAAAGGGGAGAAAGACACAAAGACAGGGTAAGTCTTGCAGAGTTGGGAAGAGATGAATGGACACAACTGGAGCTCCTCTGACAATATGTAGTGGGGACAGAGAAAGGGGAGACAGATCAATTCTAAGATGAAGCCATGGAAATACTGTTGGCATCCCATGAACAGCAAATCTGGAGCGGGAGCTCTAACAAGCAATTAGTGGATGGGTAGGTAACAAAGATGAGGAGGAACACCTGACAGAGGACAGGGACAAGCTGGAAGAACTTCAGCAAATCTACTGTCAGTAAAATTAAGAACTCGAAAACCATGGATTTTCCCTTAAGAAGGGAGTCAAAGTGCAGGAGAAGGCTGTTGGAAGAGCAAAGGCTTACGATGGGAGGTCTTTGGCAGCTCTCAGCCCCCAACCCTTCTTCTCGGTGAGGATCACCTCGACGTCCGCGTGCTGCTTCTTCTGGAAGCGTCTGTTGGAGCAGTAGTCACCATTTGGGCACCGGGAAGAGCTGTGGGAAGGAATTGGAATAAATCAATTCCCAGCAGGACAATGGTGACAGCAGAAAAAGCTCAGATGGGAAATGGATCCCAAGTAATCATAATAAATTCAGTGTGTTTTGCTATAAAAAGCAAAACCGTGTGACTGTCAACAGGCAAAGGCAGATCTTTTATTTCCTGAAGCGAGGTAAAAACATTTGGAATGCTAATTCCACCATACTTCTATGTCAGAGCAGGGTGAACTCGGCACTTCTCCCCCTATTTCAGGTTTTTTTTCTCCAGGATATCTCCTGCCCTACCTCTGCTGCTGGATGAGTTAAAAACAAATGAAAGGGCTTCTGCCAGCTAATTCTAATCCTTCCATCCAAGCTGGTGACAATCCTGGTGCCAGGGGGGAATCCCACCAAGCATTCTCTGCCCTGCCTCCAGCTCCCATGGTGAAGCAAGCCTCTTCCAGGAGGAGGAAGGAGACAATAGCCATAGGCTGGTGAGGCTCTGTCCTCCTGCAGATCATCTTAAGATTTAAATCATGGAATGGTTTGGCTTGGAAGACACCTTCAAGATCATCCAGTCCCACACCCTGCCATGGGCAGGGACACCTTCCACTAGATTGCTTCCACAGGTTGCTCCAAGCCACTTCCAACCTGGCCTTGTACATTCCAGGGATGGGGCAGCCACAGCTGGTGTGTGGGCTTCAAAGGTCACTCCACTCCAGCAGAGCTCACTGCCACCTCCCAGCAATTTCTGAGTGATTTTAGGGATTCATAAGTCATCTTCAGGACAACACTGCTCAACAGAACCCTACTTACCACTCTATCATGAGGAGGCGATTGAGACAGTCTTCTCCACAAGCCACTTCCCCCTGCGCCCGCTCCTCCTTAGAGAGAGGAGGACACTCACACAGCATCCGCTTAATATCCCGGTGGGATTTGTTCTTCTTCCTATGGAAGGCAAGTCATTGAAACACAGGTGTGACAGCAGCTGAGTAGAGAAATTCCTCAGTCATCACCAGTAGTAAATTAATTTATCATCTAGCATGGGGACATAAGGATTGATGACCTTTGGATAACCACCAGAGGGTACAGGGATAACCAAGGACACTCAGTTTGTTTCGAGAGGTGATGAATTTGTGATCACAGATGATTTCTCAAAAAGAATTCCCAGGCTATTTAGCCTTTTCTTCCTTCTCGTCCATGTCCACATTTATTTGGACATCCATTTCTAAATGGTGTTATTTTAATAAGTGAAATTGGAGGGTTTAGTTACTTCAACGTCTGCTTGATGAAAAAGAAAAGAAAATCATAGTCACAGAAAAGGAAGGGCACAAAAGACATCTTCTAATTAATATTTTAGCTTCCATGAGCTGATTGTGGGAGTGCTTTGGAGTGTAGATTCCAATGAGACCAAAAAAAGCATCAGAAACATGTGGATTGAAATAAATAGTATGTTTGATCTGGACAAAAATAGTCAATATTCAGATTCAAAATCAAGAATATCTTTTAAAACATTTAATAAAAAATTCTATCTTGCTCAACACTCCCAAGCAAAAGGGAAAAGAATAACCCTCAGTGAACAGGTCCTCTCTGGTATTTCAAATGAAGGCTGTTAGAGCTAAAATAACTCATCCGAGATGACAAATAATGACATGGCAGTAACTAAAACCTTTGGAAACATGTTGGTATGAATCAGTCAACCCTCCCCTTATATCTTCCCATCTTCCACCTCTCCTTATCACCTGGGACTGCCAGGGCCCAACAGGGAATTTTCTTTAGGAGAAGAGGTCCAAGGGGGTTAAACACTTGCACAGTGTTGTCTCCTCTATAGCTTTGCCAGATGTCTCTCCCCCACCTCCAAATTATGCCAATTTGGCCAAAAAAACCAACCACCACAGAATCAAAAAGAAGTTAAAACTCAAGACTGCTCCAGGAATAAAAATAAGGGTGCAAAATAACTGATTACCTCTCTGTCAAGTAGACGTTCTCCTCGATGAGATCAAAGTAACAGGGCATCTTCCCTTGCTTGGCAAACTCCTTCCAGCGCTGAGGGTCTCGGAAGTCATCCATGATGCACAACCTACCTACCATGGAGGAGTCCTGAGGTGCTGACTCCACCTGCTCCCCCTCAGGTTTCCCTTTCCTCTTCTCCCTGGAGTCCACGTCACTCTCCGAGTCACTCTCCACCTCTGGGCGTCGTTTTTTTGGTGGACCTCGTTCCTTCACATCATTTTTCTCCAAAACCTTCCCCTCCTCCTTCTTCTCCCCGCCAGGCATTGGCTCCTTGGTGGAATTGCTGCTGATCTCATGTGCCTGCACTGAGCCTTGTTCCTTCTGCATGGGAATCTGGCATTTACTAGAGGGACTGGGTAAGTGAGGCTTGCAGTCATCATCCCAACGGTCATCCTCTTCATATTCCTCGTGATCTTCTGTTAGGGAATCCGGGACTTGCCCTTGGATCCGTTCGTAATTAACCACAGAAGGTCTGCTAGTAGACCTTGCATCCCAGTAACCGTTGCCTTGCCAGTAACCCTGTGAGCTGCCGTAGGCTCCAGAGCTTGGCTGGTAAACATAGCCAGAGTACATCCCAAAGCTGCTATCCGGCTGCTGGTAGGTGCTACTCGGCTTCTCTGCCTGGGAATAGTCCCAGCCCAATACACTCATCTCCTCTGTTGCATGAAAATCATCCAGCCTGGAGTAGTCTGGAGGGCCTGACTGGTTTAGCCCCCCCTGCCCTTGCCTACTGTCTGGCTTGGAAGAGCTCATCTGGTGTCGGGATGTGTCAGTGCTGTCAAAACTCTCCGGCAGACAAAACGGCTGCTCATCGGGTCGGACCATGGGCCTTCCAACGGCCATCAGCTCTGTCAGCATCATCCTCTCCTCCACACTGGGTTTGCTCTGGGAGTCTGCTGTCAGGTCTGCCTGGCTCGTGCTGTCCACACCGTCACTCTGTGCCTGACACGGATCTGCCCGCAGCTCCTCTGGCTCCTTCCTGCTCAGCTCCGTAGAAGTTGCCGGACTTTTCTCCATCCCTCTTGGAGAACACCGGCTCTCCACCTGTGGACTGCCTTTACTCACCATAGTCTCTGACCTCTCCTCATAGTAGGGTCTGCTGGGCTCAGGTCGCTCATCCTCCCAGTGGTCAGAGAAACGCCTGTTGCCTTGGCTGCTCCGTGATGAGCCTGGACTGGTCTCCTCCATGGCTATGGTTGAGTTCTTGGGAACCACCACAACAGACTGCAGCCGCTTCCGTGGCATGCCATCATCAGAATCCGAGTCTTCTGTATCACTGTCTTCACTGCCCCCCTCGCTGTCACTCTCCCCCGTGTCAGAGTAATCGTCGTGGCCAGTGGGAATGAACTCAGCGGAGTTGCCACTGCTGTCACATGTCAGGGCTTGAGTTACAGTCTCTGTGTCTTCCATGGTGACAATGACATCGGAAGTGGGATACAAGGCATCAGGAAAAGCCGAAGCCACCGAGGGCTTGTTGCCCTCATCCTTCTCGTCCAACACGCTGGGACATGGAACCCTCACATCATCCAGTCCAACTCCCTCAGTGGAAACAGCACTTTCTTCCATGACCTCTCTGCTGCGGTGTTCCAGTGGCACTTCTGAGTAGTAGGAATGTTCATCTTGGAACGACGGTTTGCCTTTTCCTGCACCAAGATCAACATGCTGAGCATCCACCTCCACCATCTCTTCAGCTTCTGAATGCTGGTGACCAGCTGGTGGCGGCACATCCCATTTGGAGGAGACGCTTTCCTCCAGCATGGGATGATCCAACCCAAGCCTCTGGGAACAGACATCCTGAGAGGAATCCCTGCTTGAGCTCTCCACTGTCAGGCTAATTTTATGGGAAGAATGGCCATGCTCATCCTCACAGGCAGACTTGGAGCGGGGATCCTCCGTGCTCTCATAATCACATGTAACTGTCTGCGGCTCTACCTGCACATCCAGGAAAGTCTCAGATGTAACTTTGAAATCCACTGGTTCCGCTTCAATTTCAACTTCTGAATGGTACACAGCAGGAGTGGCATCATCAGAAACGCAGCAAAAAACAGGTTCTTTGGTTTTGTCACATGGAGTCTCCTGATCATCTACTTTGCTCAGGACAGTTTGAGTGGGATCTACATTCACGACAGGGAAAGGGGTGACTTCCTCCTGCTGCTGTGGCACCGGAGCCTCCGATTCCCTAAACAGGCTGTGGCACTCACTGGACTGGACCTGAGGATCATTCAACTCTTGTTCTTGAGACACACACGTGTTCTCCAACCCATTGGATGGCAATGAATACGAAGGACTCGTCTTCATGACAGGTGATGCCTCTGATGGACACAGGCTGTCAGCAGACAACGCAGCAACGTCCTCTGGTTTGGAGACACTGGAAGTTGCTGGATCATCAGTTCTGCCCTCCAGGGAGCCGTTTACACTCACCTCCATGGGGAAACACATCCGTAACGGATCGTGCATTCCCTTTATTAACATTTCTTGTTCCTTAACACTGTTGTGGCATTCGTTTCCTGCAAGTTCCTCAGATTTGAAAGTGGCCAAACCCACTTCGGACTCGTCTGCCTTCTTCAACGTGGGTGAACTGCTCAACTGATTTAATGGAGAAAGTGTCTTTTCCCTTTCCAGCTTTTTTGCAATGGACACCCTGATGTCATTGCTTTTTAGACAAGAGGTCTCTAAATCTAGAGAATTAGACTGTGGCTTTACTTCTTCGTTTGATTCTGTACAACAGAAAGAACTCTTAAACTTATCAGGCTTTGGTGCGGGGGGCTTGGAGGGAGTGGATTTATAACGGGAGGAATTCACATTACTGTCAGGCTTGGAATGGGATGTTCCCTTCCGATAGCCCAGTTCATCAAGGGGAGAGCACCTTTTGGGAACTTCACTTTCAGAAGTCCTTTTGGAATCTCTATCTGCTTTCGAAGAAGACCTTCCTCTCCTCTCCACATCGGCGTGAGATGACTCTACTCTGCTGTCTCTGTCCGACTTGGAATAAGAAGATCTGGAGTCTCTGTAGGAGGAGGAGGAGTGGGATGATGTACGCCTCGAGTCGCTCGACCTGGAATGTGTCCTCCTGTACTCATCCTCTGAGTCCGAGCTCTCCCGTGCTCTGCTGTCTGTGTATGAACGGGAATATCTCGACCTCTCCCTGTACGGAGAGCTCCGATGGTATCGGCGCTCGGACTCGTAGTAATGTGAACGCTCCGACCTTGAGTAGGAGGAGCTGGTTCGGGAGCCCCGATCGGAACGGGAACGGGAATGCGATCGGCTTCGCCGTCTGTCTCTGTCTGACCGAGAGCGGGAGGACGAGTACCGTGAGTCTCTCTCCGATTTAGAGTAGCTTGAGTACTTCTCATCCCTGTCCGACTTGGAGCGCGAGGAGGACTTCCCCAGGTCGTCACTTCGGAGGGACGTGGAGCTCCGTCTGGAATCTCTCTCCTTTTCTGTACTGGACACCTTCAGCTCATGCGACCGCTGGCTGGAGGACGTTCTCACTGAGTCTTCATCAGACTCGGAGCCCTGCAGCGTGCCATCAGACTGGGAGAACTTCCTCTTGACCCCTTGCCTCCGGGAGCAGAGGGGAGCACCCTTTGAGCCATCGGAAATCTCATCCTCTTTCCCAATATGGGAATCTTCCTTCTTTGGAGTTATTTCCATCTGCTCGGGCGTGGTTTGAGCTACACGTTCTTCCAAGCCACGTGACACCACGTTCTGCTTGGCCTCCGGCTCCAAAGCCTCCTTGGGCAGCGCATGGCATGGCAGCTTTGACGCAAGGACTTCGGCTTCCGCGGGCGGCGACAGCAGCAGCGTCGAGGTTGGTGTCACCGGTGGTTGTGGCAGGGCTGTCACTGCAGGAAGTGGCACCGGTGCTGCCGGTGACGCCGTGGGTGGAGGGGGAGGAGGAGGAGGAGGATGAGGAGGTGGTGTGGAGGGGAACTCCGCAGCCAGGGCCACGGGTTCCGTCACTGGCGGTGCTAGGGCTGCTGCTGGAGCTGGTGGTGGTTTTGCTGTGACGTTGAGCAAATGTTTTTTAAAATGAATCTTCCCTAACTCTAACTTGGGTTTTGGAGGGGAAGATTCCTCAGTGGAACCAGCAGAATCCCCCAGATCCATTTTGGTTTTGGGGTTAATGTCAGTCTGAAGGGGAACTGCTGGAGGGTTGGGAGCTTCATTTTGCTTCTCGTTTCCAAGAGCAGTCAGGAATCTATTGGGTAAAGTTTTCTTGGTTAAACTAAAGCTGAAAGACACCTTTTGCCTTCCTTGCTCCTCAAGGTTAACCTTGGTTTTAGTGCCTTTGGGCAGGAAGCGACTGGAAGCGATGCCCTTGAACACGGGGCCTTTGACAAAACCAGCTCTTGGCGCCGTTTCGGGTTTGCCCTGTGGGAGAGAAAGAAGTTGAAGTTGGAGGAATTGAGGTTTTGGGGGTTTTAACTCAGTTCTGCAGCACACTGAAGGGTTTTCTTTCACCTGGTGAATTTTTCATGCTGCTAAAACAGAAATGGATCCCCTGGGCCTGCCTTTGGCAGGTTCTCTTGAACAGAATCACTTCCTTGGTCATTTTCGTTTGGAACAAAACCTCCTCTGGGCTTTGGGTTGAAGCTTTTTAACTGACTTATTAATGACCAAGATGAAAGTCCTTTTACCATTTAATTCTTAGTTTTTAAAAAAGAGATAGAGTTCAATACATAAACTTAAAGGAGATGTTTTATTTGCTTATTATCTTTATTTTGCTTTTTCTGTGGTGCCAAGAACAAAATATCCTGATTTTTAAGCTTCAAGCATATTCTGTTTTCTCACTCTAGGAGATTACACCTGGATGCAGCCTTCCAGTACCTAAAGGAGCTCCAAGAAAGCTGCAGAGGGACTTGGGACAAGAGCCTGAAAGGACAGGACATGGGGGAATGGCTTCCCACTGCCAGAGGGCAGGGGGAAATGGGCTATTGGAAAGGAACTCTTGACTGTGAGGGTGCTAAGGCACTGACACAGGTTGCCCACGGAAGCTGTGGCTGCCCCATCCCTGGGAGTGTTCCAGGACAGGTTGGATGGGGCTTGGAGCAATCTGGGCTAGTGGAAGGTGTTCCTGCCCATGGCAGGAGGTTGGAATGAGATGGTCTTTAAAGTCTTTCCTACCCAAACCATTCTGGGATTCTAGGATTTGGTTTCAGCATAAATCAGCCTGTCAAGAATTACACCAGCAATTTAAGCCCTGTCCTTTACCACCTCCCTCCAACAACCTTATCCCAGACATTACTTATTCCTACTAAGTTTCCAGGCTCAGGCATAGTTCAGCATCAATTAACAACCCCCAAGAATTCCCAGCAGGACTCAGTGGTGTGTAATGACACCGTCACCTCCTGGCCAACCAACTGCAACACACTCCACATCCTTCCCAACCAGAATCTCACTCAGAACCTTACAATCCCAAAATTAATAATTTTTCAGAGCTTAAAGCACCATATATTCACCCATTTGGGCATTTCTCCACACATTTTAAAGCTTAGAACTCATCTGTATCCCAGGAGTGCAATCCCTGAAGAGGAATATTGTGGCACTGTGGTAAAAGGGTTTTGTTGTCAACACCTTTATCCCTGAAAATTCAAATTGCATTAGACTCATGGAATCCCAGACAGGTTTGGGTTGGAAGGGACCTTAAGGATTATCCAGTCTCACGTCCCTGCCATGGGCAGGGACAATTTCCACTAGCCCAGGTTGCTCCAAGCCACATCCAACCTGGCCTGAAATACTTTCACAGCTTCCCTGAGAATCAGTGCAATTACATTATGTGTGAGAAGCAGAATTACAATGGGAAGAGTCATATCAGAACTGCTCAGAGCAGAGTTTTGCCCCCATAACTGGGCCATGAACACAATTTTGGCAGGAACAGAAGTTTCCTGCAGCCCACTGTCAATTATTAAGCATTTTGTTATCCTTTAACTCACATAAAACAATTCAGAGCTGCTCAGGCTCAAGGCACCTTAGTAAATGATTAAATAAGATGTTGGAGGAGTGGAAATCCGATTCCATTTGCTCCCTGGGACATCACAGATACAAAAAAAATCCTCACTTCGGACACCATGGGGTTTTATTTCAATAGTGCAAACCATGTCTTCATCTTCATGTGACTTATCTTGGTGACTCAACCCAGCGCCACACACATGTTGGATCTTCAGCAGAAAATTAACTGCACTGGGAGAAAAACAGGAGCAAATATCCAAGGCATTCCTTTAAAATGGGTGTTATTTAACTGGAAGCCATTTCATGGATGATTTTAAATGAGTCTCATGGCTAAAAGAGCATCCAAAATGGACCTAGAGAAGTAAGAGCATGTCCAGCACTGAAACAGGCTCCTCACATCACAACTGTCTCACAACCTTCTCCAGAAAACCCTGCTGAAAATACTATACCTGTTTTCCAAAGAATCCACACATCAAAAGTGATGCAGAGATCAATAAACCTGTTTATATAAACTAATTCATGGATGAATTAAGGACAAAATGAAGTGTCCCACTCCATTTCTGAGGGCTACTCAGACCCCTCTACCTCCTACATAGGACACCAGGCTCAGCCTTCCCCAGAGCAAGGGAACAGCATTTTGGGGGTTTCCTGGGTCAATTATTATCCTTATAGAATCAAAAATTCCCACTTTTTTACCCCAATCTGTCTTGGGACAATGGAATAGTTAAGAGAGCAAGTTCCAACCATCGCCTGGTATGTAATGGAAGGATCTCTACAAATCTGAATCCAAATTCTTACCAGAGTTTGGAATCTTCAATCATAGCAACTATATAGAATAAAACTCATAAACATATATTTCAAAAGAGAGTAAATAGAGTGCACCAGCTTTCAAGAGTTTTTCTTCTTGATACAACTCTGGTGACATTATTTTATGTGCAAAATTCACACTTATGGACCAAAATCATTCTAATTCCAAGGAAAACAGTTCTGAAATCCAAGCAAGGAACAACAGGGTTTGGAGAAGATCCACCTTTACCCAAAGCACAGGACCTGCAGGGTTTGGAGAAGATCCACCTTTACCCAAAGCACAGGATCTGAGGGCAAAAAAGGAGCTGCCACACTTCTATTCTCTCCCTTTTCATAGTATAATCCAGCAGAGCTGATAGATTTCAGAGTATTTCCCCCTCATGTCCTCACCTTTCAAGGGATTTTCTTAAGTAACAGCAATTTGATCAAAACATGACTTAGAGAATTTTAAACATCCTCCACAGGTACTTTTTGAAATGTAATAGTAGCAATTACCGGCAAAAGCTTTCTAGGAGGAGGGGAGTTCTCCTTTCTTTCATGTCTTACAGAAAGAGAACATTCCCCAAAACGTTGCTGTGGGTGTTTTTCAGGGGAAAAAAACCAAAGGATTAACAGCCATCGTTCCTCTGCTGGATGTTATAAACTGTTCCAGTCCTCCAAGTTTTCTCATTTCCCATTAAATTTATTGAGTCACACACAGCAAAACCAGTTAGTTTTACAGTCCTGAAACACCTCATGGTGGAGAACGTGGCACTGACCACACTGAGGGCACTGTTGTGCTGTGCTATCGCATCTCCATGGGTTTATGGCATAAGTGGTACTGAAAATATTTCCCTTCTCTCCCAAATTTAACCACTGAACCAGGAAAACATCCATTTGCTTTATCTGGAGGCTCAATTGCTCTTAACTCAAGGAATCTCTTGGTCAAACCAGATTGCGCTAATGTGTGTTGCAGGGGATACATCGAGATAGGAAATGGGTTTACTCACCTCATTTTCTTCTTCTCTGTTGCAACCCAGGGGAGGAAACATGCAAGAGAAACAGAAAGAGAAGGTGTAAATACTAGGTAGGAACAAGAAACATCTGGTTCGGGAAGTAGGATGGACTGTGGGACACAATGAGGCTAACACAACCCCCCAAACCATCCTGTCCTTACCAAGGGCCACACAGACATGACATGTGGCTCTGGAAGGGAGCATGGCAGTTGAGAGGCACAAAAATTTCCAATACACTGGAAAATTCTGCATAGATTAGGCCAGAGCAAACCTTTTTGGAGCAAACTGATGGCTTGGTGGTATCTTCTGAGTGGCTGCAGAGCTTTTCAACATACTGCAGAAGTAACAGGGGTATAAAGTACCTCAAAAATGAGATTTAAGAAGCTGAATTTGAGTTTTTATTAAGTATTTTCCTTAACAGTGGGAAGTTCTGCCTCACTCACTGAAAGAATTAAAGATACTTATGAAAGTCTTACTTGGTGGATGTGCAGTTCTGGCTACTTGCCATTATGATTATGCTTAATTAATCAGGATTTTGGCAGCTAACAGCTCAACAATTAATTAATTAGGACCATTACCTTGACCTCAATCAAACCTGACAATGGGAAAGCCCAACTTTTAACTCTTCTCCCAAGTTCTCCACTCTGACACCACAATCAAAGTAGTTTCTCCTCAAGAAAGAAGGAACAATCACACAACTGTTCTCTCCTTGCTTCGCTCAATTCCTGGGAGTTTCATGAGTTTCTTGCTCCTACCAACACACCTTAACGAAGTCATCGACACTTCACCTGTCTCTCAGAGGTCCAAAAGCCTCTCCAGAGCTCAAAAGTCCAGCTCAAAGCTGGACTTTTGTTCAAGTTTTTCAGTTTTTGAGACATGATTTGGTGCTGCTGTGGCGCCACAGTCAAAGATTTCCTGCAGAAAAGATTCCCAGATTTCACTTCAAGCATCAGCTAAATGAGAAGGATCAGTCTATGGAAGAGAAAGCCAAAGCTTTTGGTTTCTGAGGAACCCACAGGCAGCGATAGCACTATAACCACCATCTCCCCATCCAAACCACCATCAAGAAGGAATTAAGAGCAAAATTAAGTGCTAGAAAGACCTATCACCACTGAAATAGACTCCTGCCTCTCCCAAGGCTCCAACTCAATGAATAAAGCTTATCAAAAGACTGTAAATTATCTTCACAGTCATGAGAACGAGGTTTGTTTCCATTCAAGAAACATGAGCCAAGAGTTCAAACAAGCTGTGGAGGACATGGATGGGATTTAATGGGATCCACCAAACAGGAATTCCAAATACTGCTGAGGTTAGGAGCCCTCAAAGAACAGCACTTCAACAGGAATTAATGCCTAAAAGGAGTTTTCATTTTCAGGATCACAAAGGAGAGGAGTTTTAGACTCCTGGAAAACTGTTGTTCTTGACAGTTGCATATTCTGGGAGTTCAGTTTTGAAGTTCAGTGGAGCCAAGACCCAACAAGAATATTGGATTCCATGATTTAAGGCTTTTTTCCAACCTAAATGATGCTAGGAAGATTTTCAAGACATCCATAACCAGATACAGCACCAAATTACAACCAACAGAAGAAAGCTGGGAGTTCTACACCAAAACTAACTCTT